ATATAAATGAGATGACATACCTCCTGTTATGTTGGCTAATCTAATGGTGATATAGGCATTTAGATGAATTTATTAGTTTGTATTCCTTTCTGTGGGTTAAATTGTAAGTAAAACTGTAGTCATCCGTATATTGTATTTATGCCCTTGTTTATGGATGATTAATTTCAATATTATTTAGGAAGCTGTACATGTTCTTCTGTCAAAGAAATAGATAAAAGTAAAATCTTCCAGATTTGGTGCTTAACTACATATTTGTTTGACTGCTGCTAAGGCTAAATAGTGAATAGGATATGTGTTTTACTCTCTAACATTTAACATTTATAAGTATTTTAAGTCCCTTGAGCAGATACAAGAATTATTGTGTTCCCAGTAATGTTATGTGTAAAATATGTTGATTTATATGGAGATTTATAATATAACTTTATTTAGTGGCATACTGAGGAAATTTAACTTCATTATCTGTGTATTTTGATTACATTTATTTCAGTCAGACTCCCTCTTTTCTCTTGGCTCAACTTACCCATTTTAAGGTACCTTTCAGACTCAATATAATGTCATTCTTATAATATTAAAATATATAACCTTATTAGTGTTTACTGAGTTTTAATGTTTTTCATATACTATATATATTATTGGACATTATTATTTTCAGTATAACCTTATGCTTTAATAATAGATGCCAGCACATAAAAACTTAATTTACTTTACTTAATGAACTTGGTCTCCTGGTATTAGTAAAAACTGGAGTCACTGTTATTTGTTTACTATCATTAATGATCTATGTCATCTTAAAATAAAAAAATTTAATCTTCATAATAAAAGCCTAAGAAAAACAATAGTCATGAATTTGATTTTGATCCAAGGTAGTATTTCAGCTTCTTGATACATGTGTTGTTTGCAGTTTTGAAAAGTTTTAACTTAATTCTAGAATTATAGAATTTGTTTTCTTGTATCTTTTTAATAGATATTCTTCATTTTTAACTAAAACAATTTTAACTGAGTGAATTATATTAGTAATGGTTCAATTAACCATTGCTGGATGAGAAAATATCCCCACACTTTAGAGGCTAAAATAACAACTATTTTGTTTGCTCACAATTCTGCAGGTCAACAATCTGGGTCTGCTCAGCAGGAGTGGTCTTTCCCTGTAGCCACTTATGCAACTGCAGGTTTCTGGCTGCTCAGCGCCTTACTCATACATCTGGAGTTGGTTCTGGCTATGGGCTGAGCTAGTGTCTCAAACAGGCTAGTCTTGGCTTCATCACTTTTTGCCTGAGTTCCAAAAGCATTAAGAAAGAGGGCAAGCCCCAGTGTGCAAATGCTTTTCAAACCTCTGCTTGTGGCACAACTGCTAAAAGTCCATTGGCCAGTGCAAGTCACACAATCCTAGAGTCAGTGTGTGATGGGAATGTATTTTTCACAGCTGTTGATCTCAAGTCTTTTAAAATTGAAATCTGTCCCAAGACTATTCAGTGACATTTGTTTCATGACTACTTTTACTGAAAAAAAAAAAGTTATATTTCAATTGTAGAGTCATTAAATAACAACAGATCTCTTTTTCTTTCCCTTTCTTTCTTTTTCTCTGTACACACACACATACATATTACATGTAATAGTTTTAAGTGTTCCACCTAAAGGGTTATTCCTTTTAAATAATCAATATAATTTACTTATATAAAAGCTTGCATATTTATTCTTTAATTATTTCATTCTTTAAAGCCTCAATAAAGTAGGCCAAGATTCTTATTTTGTAAATGAGGAAATAAGGTCTGTAAATATATAAGAAAGAGCTACCATATGTTGTTACTGTTAGAGGAACAGAAAATATTATATATCTAAAATCTCTGTCCTTAAAGAGATAAGTTTAAATCTTATAAGCATATTATAATATTTAAATAATTTTGTTAGTATTAAAATCAAAGATGAGTTATGTAATTGTATTATGTCAGTAGCTACTGCTTTTGTAAAGAATAGTGGAGAATTACAAATAGCAGAACAGATCAGGAAGCTGGGTTTTCCTGAATTTTTCTTTGTTAACGTCATTATTTCAGGTTATTTATTTTGAAATATAAATTTTCAAAAGGTTTAGCTATATTCATGTTTTAGTTTGAGGCATATTTCAAATGAAGTAGTTGTTTTTATGATGTTTGTTGCATTATTTGTTTTATATGTGGCATACTGTTGCTACTTTTGTTACTACATGTAGTTAAAATTTGTCTATAACTTCTAGTTGGTAGAATATCACTAATTTTTGATATTTAGCTAACATTTATTGAACACTTAACTTGTACTGGGCACCATTTTAAGCATCTAATATGCTTTGTCTTACTGATCCTCACATGAACCTTGTGAGGTAGGTCTGCTTTACGACTTAGAAACTGAGACTCTAAGAAATTGAATGGTTTACCTAAGGTCATATGCTAGTGAATGACAGGCCTGGAAAATTGAATCCAGACAATCTAACTCCAGAGTTTGTACCTATAAATTAATCAGAATCAGTCTGTTTTCATAATTCCTAAATCCATTAATCTCTGAAAACATAAAAAATTTAAATAGCTTTATTAATGTATAATTGATATATAATAAATTGCATGTATTTAAAAAATACAATTTGATAAGTTTTGACACATACATACACCCATGAATCATCACCATAATCAAGATTTTGAACTTACTCATCACCTCAAAATGTTTCTTTGTGATGGTCCCTCCCCTCTTCTGTACTGTCCCACCCCCACCCCACTATCTCCAGGCAACCATTGATCTGCTTTCTGTTATTGTAGATTAGTCTGCATTTTCTGTTGCATATAAATTGTATATAAATGGAATCATACCATATGTCTTCTTTTTTTGTCTGGTATCTTTCACTTACCATGAGGATTTTGAAATTCATCAATGTTGTTGCATATGTCAACATTTATTCCTTCTTAACTACTGAATGATATTCTATTATAATCATATACCTCAATTTGTTCAGCCATTCAACTGTTGATGGATGTTTGGGTTGTTTCCAGTTCGGGGCTATCACAAAGCTAATATAAACATTTGTGAACAAGTCTTGTATGGACATGTGCTTTTTTTCTCTTGGGTAAATACCTAGGAATGGAATGGCTCAATCATATGGTAGGTATATCATATGGCAGGTGTATGTTTAACTTTTAAAGAAACTGCGAGAAATTATATCAGTATGTTTTATGGGATGCTACCCTCATATTATATAATATGCAAAATATGCATTATATATGCTTCAGAAATCTGAAAAATTATGAATTCTGAAACCTGGATGGCCCTAAGGCTTTCAGAAAAGGTACTGTGGACTTCTACTGTCTTGTGAAGTAATGAGTTACTTGTATTAGTCTGTTCTCGTGTTGCTATAATAGAATACCTCATGCTGGGTAATTTATAAAGAAAAGAGGTTTATTCGGCTTACAGTTCTGGGAAAGCTGCATCTGGTGTGGTACTCAGGCTGCTTCTACTCATGGCGGAAAGCAGCAGGCCAGCCTGTAGATATAAGCAGATCACATGGTGAGAGAGAAAGAGAGAGAGAAAGAGAGAGCATGAGCGTGAGCGCAAGCATGATAGGAGGTGCCAGCGTCATTTAAACAACCAGCTCTCACAGGAACTAATACAGCCAGAACTCACTCATTATCTGCACCTTGGGGCATTAATCTATTCATGAGGGATCTGCCTCCATAACCCAAAGTGTTCCCAACAATGCCAAGTTGAAGATCAGATTTTGGTATGAGGTTTAGGGGAACAACACATCCAAACTGTCAGTAATGTAAAATGATTTTGTCAATTTAATAGAAATGTCTATACTTGTTAAACTTACATAAATTCTTTAGAAAGAGGATATATTTTACCATATAAAACACTCAAAAAAATATGAATGGGTGAAATTTAAGTAATTGTCTAACTGAACATTACCTCTAAGAAAGAATGAGAGCATGAGTTGCAGGTACATTGGATAAATGTTTTCATCTTGAAAATTCCTTGTAATAAAGTTGTATGTTAATGAGAATAGCAAATATTCTGTATTGCCCAATGCCTAGTGTTAATATTGACAATCTAGTACTGACTGTTATCATTGTATATTATTTGAAATGCTTTTCCATTGAAATTTTAAAGTCTATTCTGAGAGACAAGTCTGTAGAAAAATGAGTATTATGTATTTTCACAACATAGTACCTCTTTTTTACTAAAAATAAGCGCTACAAAAAGGACAATATATTTTCCATTCTTTACCTTGAAATAAAATGAGCTGATAAAAAAGATGTCTGAAATTGTTGGAATGCTAATTAATTTTAGTAAGTTCATGTACATTATTATAATTTGTCAGTGAAAGCCTCCTATATAATTCAGACATAGGAGTAGATAGTTCAAACATATTTCAGAAACTTTGTCTAAGGCTGAGTACAGGGGATCTCTGCCCTTCAAGAGATTTCCAAGTTAGGGAGGAAGATGGATCCTAACTGTCATATGTCAGGCCTGATAGAGGTACAAAAATATTGAGGTATCAGTTTGAATGAGAGTGATATTTGAACTGAATCTTGAGCAGTGGAAAAATATAAGAGGGAGGAGCATTTTGCCTGGAAGGAATAGCAAGCACAGGCAGTGCGATGGATTGGTGGTATAGTGACTCCTGAGAAATACAGTAGCACCCAGGAGTGATGTGGGTATTGGAATCATAGCTTGTGGCTTAAAGGTTAAATTTGTGATGTACCCAAAGTTACACAATTAGTGAATGACATAGCTAGATTTGAAACAGATTCTAACTTCAAAACTCATCTTCTTTTTATCATGCCATGCTATTTAGTATAAGGCCTTATATAAGTTTAATTAGCATAATTAAATATTAATCACAAATTAAATAAATCTGATGGTTATATATCATTTTTGCTTTTCCTAAGTTGCATTTACCATGATTAACCCTCCAATATAATCAGAAAAATTTACCAGACATTTTTCTAATTTTCTTTTGGATATGTTTTCTCTTGCAGGGTAACATTTTGCCATCTGCCTTTCCAGAGTAAGTGGCTCTATGTGGGCACCGAACGAGGTAACATACATATTGTCAATGTGGAGTCCTTCACACTCTCAGGCTACGTCATTATGTGGAACAAAGCCATTGAACTGTGAGTCTGAGCAAATATTCCATGTCTGAAAGTATCAGTACCATGTATGATAATATACAATATGTAATAACCAGTCAGTAAATATGGAATTAAATATATGTCAGATGTCCTTGATATTGAATGCAGATTTGTCTTTTGTAAGGATTATCCTGTTGGCATGGAGTTTGTAAATTTAAATACTTTATATAGATATGTCACATACACGTTATGCATATATTCACATATGTATAAACTGTAACACAAGTTTACTGATACAGTTGTTCTTCTTACAAGGTGACAAACACTAACTTTTTTTGTTTATTTATCTTCTAATTATTTTTCTTTTAAATACGGGTCATGACCCACAAGTGGGTTGCCACCAGTGTTTGGAAAACACTGATCTAAACTACTACTTGATATGTTTTAATAATCAACAAATATGTAAATGTTTGTTAAAGTTAATACATTGAAGAATTAATTTTAAGGCTAATTTTACTTAATTTTGATACAATAATTATTGTTTTCATTTGCTAATATTAACAACAAAAACTGGGTTGAGCTGTAGGGCCCTCAGGATCTTTAGCATTAACATTTCACTTGTCTTAAAAATTTTGTATCTTATCTCTTTCTACAAGATTTTTTCTTATATTGCTTAGACATAAAAATCAAAGTTTAAGGATATTGGCAAGACCCTTTTTCAATGTTTCTTTTTGTTCTAAAACAAATAGTCTTGTATTATTGCATTCCACAATTTTTACATCTTTTTGACATAAGAATAATTTTGTGACATATCTCTTACTGTGTTTGTATAGCTGTACTAGTATATTAAGCCTGATTTTCTCTTGTGGCAGGGAGGTTTTTATCATATATCAGTCCCTGGGTAGTATGGGTTTTCACCATCTGTTCTTTGAGTTAATCATGACATCTAGTGGGTAGGCCTGATGCAAGTGTCTGTATAGTTTCACAGATGATTCTCATGAAGTAAACTCTGAACCTTTGGAGTTTATGAATAGTGATATGCTTATTCCTACTGTACAGGTGTCAGTTTAGCCATATTCTTTATCTGTATGACATCTTTTCCTCTGAGCAGGCATAGGTGGCATTACTCTGTTGATTATTATTATTTTTTTAATATAATTCAATTTTTTCTGTGGCTGGTATGAACCACGGAACTGGGTGGGATGCCTCAATTGGAGGCTAGAATTGAGTAAAATAAGGTTTCAATATTTTAGGTGCTACATTATTTAAAAATATTAACTTTGAGAATTCTACTTTGAGAATAGATTTTCTATGCTGAAATATTTGACTAAATTGAATATTCTTTTCTATACAGAAAGTGTACTTAATTGTAGATTTTTCTGACTTATATCAACATGAGAATCACTTACCATTTTTCCCTATTCCTATTTTTGATCTATGTTTAAGAACTATACGTCTGATATTATCAGTTACTGAAATGCTTTCTTCCTTTATAAATATATGTTTACTTTGTATTTATTTATTCTTTAATGAATATGTAGCTGTTATGGAAATTTTTAGTTGAGAAAAAAATCTCATTAACTTTTTCTCTTTTAGGTCATCTAAATCTCACCCAGGACCTGTTGTTCATATAAGTGATAATCCAATGGATGAGGGAAAGGTAGAATTTTTTCTTAAAAAATTTATTATTTAAGTGCATGAATTTTAGTATTTTGAATATGCAAACTGTTCCATGACCACACGTCCTGCAAAGTTGAGATTGCTAATAAAGGTTGTATATTGTATACTTAAAGTTTGTTATTCATTGTGAAGAACAAGTGAAAGAATTAGAATCAGTTCTAATATTAAAGAACAAAAAAATCCCAAAACATAAATAAAATTTAATGAATACAGTTACAAGTTATTAATTTATATTTGGCTTATTCAGAATATTTTTCCTTATTTTCTGATAATCCTGGCAAAAAAAGTTTTTTTTGGGTTTTGGATTCTTTTTAACACTTATATAATTTTTATAGTTCTTGTTACATATTGCCTTATGTTAGTTGTCTCTATCTCCTGTCCCCTAAATTTTTCTTCATAAATAGCTACAATTAATAATGTGGATATTTTAAAACTGTTATTTAATATTTTATACTCTGAAATCAGTTTTATGCAGTCAATATCTAGTTATTGCTGATTTAGGTTAGTTAATACATTTTAAAAAAATAAAATTTTTTATGACTTTTTATTTCCTAATTTAAACCAATCTTTCAGGTAGTTCTACTTAATAAGGATATTTTTCTACCTATATGGTTTTATGATGTTAACCTAAGTAAATACTAAGAAGTTTATTGCTATCTGAAATCAGTGAAGTGAGACCTTTGTGGATTTTTGTGCAGGAATTTACCCAGTTTTTTTCTTTTCCTCAATTAGTGGAAGAGGTTAAGCCTATAAATTTTTTAACACTTTTCTCTTAGTTTGCTACTGGGAAAACGAAAGAATAACTGGACTGTTTGGAGTTAGTTCATAATCATAGAATTGTATTCTTTAAAAGAAACTTTATATAAAGCAAACGTACAGTAATCTCAATCCTCACTTATTTTCTTTTATACAGGATACTTGTTTAAAAGTCAAGCCTTTGAGTGGGAGGAATGGTGGGAGAATCGAAAACTTTCCTTCCACCTTGAATCAATCACTAAGTTATTTCAATGCCTCTTTTGCAATGTTTCTTTTCTATTCAATCTTGTAATGACCACTGTAGGTCAAGGCATTCCAACCCATTCTTGAATCATTTCCAGATCAGTCTTACTAGAATTCCATTCTAATCTTAATGTTTTGCTTAAAAGTTTTCAGTGGGTCTTCAGTATCTAACAAATAAAACAAAATTTCCTAAAACGTAGCCTGAGGTTTCCTTTTTTTTCAGAACATCTTTACCTGAATGCTATGCTGAAGCAAATATTGTAGTTATTGTTTCCCAAATACGAACTGCTCTTTGCTGCCTCCATGACTTTGTTTATGTGAGTCATTCCATTTGGAATTCTCTTCCACCATTCTCTCTGCCAAAGTCCTACCCACATTTTAAGGTCCAGATTAAATATGTTTTCTTTATGATATCTTCCCTGATAATCCTGACAGAAAATACTTTCTTTCACTTCTGCATTCACTAGTGCTTTAGTTATGCAGGTTTTATATTTATCACATATTGCTTTTTATTAGAAATGTGTGCATATCTCAGTACCCTGGAACTTGAAAGACTCCTTGAGCACAGAGGTAATATTTATACAGTTTTTATTTTCCAAAGCATCCAACATACAATAACTATAGTAACTACTCAATCTATACTTGATTTATGAAATTAATATATATAATTGTTTGTGTCATCATCATCATGTTTTTTTGATACCTGGTATTATTCTCCTTAGTTCCAAAAGATAATCTCATTCAGACTTTTTTGAAATATTAGGGGGCTAACATAGATTATATTATCTAATCTTTGATCTCTTGTAGAAAAATTTACTTTACATCAATGACTCTTTCCTATTTCCAAATATCTTTGTGACATTTTTCACTAAAAAAAGATATAAAGTGATAGGGCAGGTTCCTTCAAAGCTAACCTTACAGGTGGAAGCCACCATACTATGTGAAAGTCTTGGCTAAGGAGGTTAGACATTAGTGTAAAATTATGTACAATAGTATTACCTACCATTTATTGAGTTCCGTTTGTTAGGCACTGTGCTGGCAACTTTACATACACTTATTTCATTTGATTCTGTCAACAGATTTTAAGTTAGAAATTTATTCTAATTTACAGAGGATGAGGCAGAGACCTGGTGACATTATGTGTTCCATAGACACATAGCTAGGTATTTGTGGAGCTGGGATTTGAACACATGGTTTCTCTGATTCTAACCCTGAGAATACTCTCCATTATACCACATTTCCTCTCTAGATATAGATTAGTTATGGATGTTGTAGAGAAGTGCATTCATATTCAGTATACCCACTAATACTTTTTATAAGAGAAAAATTAGGAAGAAATTAATCAGCAGTACATAAACTAACTTCTCTATGATTTATAAAACATTCTTGTAGGAGTAAGCATTGAAGGAATTTTCTAAGTTTAATTAATTTCTGTGTCTTTAATTTAGTTTTTTATTTTTTAATACTTATTTATAATTTTCTTGCTTTTGTAGAGAAAGGAATTGAAAAGCAAAGGAGAAGATGGGCATTTAAAGCTTAATGTGTTTGATATATACTTCTAACATTCTTAAGATGATAGAACTGGCTAGAGAGGTTAAAATTTACTATAACCCTCTTGAGTTATTAAGATCAGGACGGGTAAAGTTATTTTCTTCAAGTTACATGGCTAGTAAGTGGCAGATTTAGGACTAGAACTCAGGTTTACCTGTGTTCTGAGCAGTCTAGTGCTGTTTATATTGTACATAGATTCTTAAATTTTATTTTTTCCTTCTCTTTTTTTATTTGTGAAGTTTCTCTCTTGCTTCCCTTGTAGGAAAATGCCCTATCACGTGTCCAAGATATTTGGAAGGACTGGGAAAAGGGAAAGGAAACAAATAGCAGTTTTTCCGAGGAGTCTGTGTCTCAGATTGCCTAGGAAAGAAGAGTTTGGGTTAGGAATTGACTATACTCCCTACCAAGGTGGAAAAACTATTTTAATTGTATCAATAACTAGCCCCTCTAACTGCCCTTGTAATCTGAAATTCACTAAATTGCTATTTTATTAAAATTATTAGGCCTGCCCCAAACTTTATTTGTATCTCTAGATTACATGAACAGTTAGACTATCTACTAATCATTTATATATTCATTGAACACATATTTATTGAGTGGTTACTATTTATTAAGCAGTGTATTAGATATTAGAGACATGAAGGTGAAAATGCATATACTAGCATAAGAGAAGGAGCATTTTCATCTGTTTAGAGGAGTTAAGTAGACTTAGCCAAGGAAGCAACACTGAATTTAGACTTAAAAAAAATGAGTAGAAGATTGCTCAGTGAATGAAACAGGAGGAGGTTTCAAGCAGAGGGAATACTGAGATTTGGGAAATTGAGGGCGAGGGTGTGAGTGGGAGGCAGAGGTTGGATGGACAGTACAAACAGTTTGTGAGGCAAGAACATGCATTCCATTCTGGGATGTGTTTATTTATAAAACACTTATTAAGTACTTGCAGCATATTAGGCCCTGTGTCTTCTGTTAGAGGTATTGTGGTGAACAAGATAAAATGAATCCTTGCCCAAATACACAGGTATTAAAGTCTGCAAGAGAATTCAAATAAGGAAAAAGTTATTTTATTGTGTGTTGACCCTTTATATTAAAAAAAAAGTACAAAGTGCTATTGGAGAAAGGGCATTGATTACATTTGATATGTCAAGGAAGTCATAGCTGAAAGGACATTTGAAAGATTAGTAGGACTAGTCAGGCAAGGAGGATCACATCATTATGAAGTGGCCCAGGTACTCCATTAGGCAGTGTGCACAAAGGCTCAAAGGTAAGAGAGAGCATGAACTGACTCAAGACTACATTAGAGTGTGTTAGGAGGGGTGTGATAAGGGATGAAGCTGGAGAGGCAAGCCGAGGTCAGACTACAATGGATCTTGTAGGTCATATTACTGAGTTTGGACTTTAATCCTAAAAATAATTGTGAGGCATTAGAAAAGTTTAAATAGAAGCGTATATTATCCCATTACGTTTGCACTTTAGAACTGTTACTCTGTATACAATTTTGAATGGGTTAAAATAGGAGCAGGACTGGAGTCAGGGAGATCAAAAAAGGGACCCTTGTGTCTTGAACCAGGATAAAGGTACTGGGGATGGATGGAAGTAAATTAGATAATAGATTACTTGATGATTTTACCTGTTGGAGGAAAGACTAGAGTTAAGGATGACCCCTAGGTTTCTGGCCTGAACAATTGAATAAATGCTGTGATAAAGAATAGTGAGAGAGATACTACAACAGAGAATGCCCAAGAAGCAGGATAGATAAGAATATAAATTATTCACTTTTGGGTACATTTCTTTGAGGTTCTTGTGTAGGTAAGTAGAGACATGGCTACTGGAAGTGTCTGAATCTTATGAGCAGGATCTAGGCTAAATATAATTTGTAACTAATCTATATATATGAAGTAGATGAGATTGCCTGATAATGTACAGAATTTGGAAAGTTTGTAAATTCTAAGCACATTCAAATGTTAATTTAATTTTTATTAGTAATTTATTAAAATATATTAATTAGTGCTGATGTACACTTAGGACTCCAAAATGGTACTGTTTTCTTTCTAAAAAATCAGTTGTATGTTTAGTCCCTGATCACCCAAAGCATATAAATATGTATTCAGTGTTCTCATTCATCATCTTTATGATTAGTAATTAGCAATGCAGATGTTCAATTATATTTTATACTTGAAGCATATGAATGGTAATTGTTGTCTTTATCATCAGCAAATAAATGTTTTATATAATTGATACTATTCCTAGGTAATGTGGCTTTTTTTTTAATTACAGCTTTTGATTGGCTTCGAATCTGGAATAGTAGTTTTATGGGACCTCAAATCAAAGAAAGCTGACTACAGATACACATATGATGAGGTAATAACATTATTTTTGCTAATAAAAGCTGTTGCTCTTTCTCTAATTCAGAGCGTCTTCTCTAAGAACTTAATTGGTGGTTTTAGTTTAGGCAACCTTTGTAATTGCAATAGCCTAATTTATTTTTTAATAATAGATAATATGTTCACATAATTCAAAAGATACAAAAGTCTCCTTGCCACCCCTGACATTTGGTCACCCATGGTTCCCTTACAGGTACCATATTACCAGTTTCTCATGAGTTCTTCCAGAGAGTCTATATATTTACAAACAAATTCATAAATATATTCTGTACTTTCTTTTATATAAATGATAATATACTGTAGAAATTAACAGTTTGATTTCTTTAAGATCCAAATTAGGGTCTATTGTTATTGATTAATAAGTCTTTTAAGTCTCTTTTAATCTGTAGACCTCTCCTCTCCTCGCTTCCCTTCTTTACCTTACTCCTCCTTTTTTGTCATTTATTTGTTGAAGATAGAGTCTCCCAAATGCTGAATTTTTCTGGCTGCATCCCCATTGTCTTTAACATCTCTTTTTGCCCTCAGATTTCCTATAAATTGAATAGTTTACTGAGGCTTGATAAAATTTAGGTTCATTTTTCATTTTTAGCAAGACTGCTTCATAGACAATGCTGATGCTCTTTTATCAGATAGAGCCTTTGTATGTGATGTTGGTAGCCAGTGTGCTCAAGGCCTAGATCTGTTAATGTATAGTGGTTATAAAATGGGGATATAATAATTCTATCATTGCTTTTCTGTTTATTAGCTAGGACACTTTTTTGCAAAAAGAAACATCCTCTTATCTTCTCTTTGGTTATAAAATAGTACAGTTCATATAGCAAAGGTAGGATAAATGCTTGATTCTTTCTGTTTGCTTCAGTATTCACTCCAAGGGTGGTTGTTCTCTAGAAGTTTTAGTGGTGACTAATTTATTCTCATATCTAGTTTCACTTTGTGCTTCATAATTTAAATATATTGGAGGTGCTTCAGTCCATTGAAGTTATTATCCTTATTGCTTTTCAAATTGTTCCCTCTTCAGTCAGTGAATTTCCTCCAGTTGATGCCTGAGTCCTTTGTTGATAACCATAAGTCTTTGCTTCTTTGCTATCTGGTATAATAAAATATACTTGTGAATTTTGACTAATCTTGTGTATTTCTAAACAAAAATTAGGATATTTCCCATGGAACTATGGCCTCTTTCATTGTGAAACGGTATCTGGAGACTGTAGTTTGGGTACCAATAGTGTTCATGGTTTGTGATTCAGTGAATAGGGCTATAGCTAGGAAATGTGTAAGTGGTTTTGCTTGCTTGTTTGTTTTTAAGATAAAATGCTTCATGTTTTCATATTGATGTTCTGAGTTGCTGAGACAGCAGACTGCATTGATTAACTATAGCAATACTTTGAATACTTTGTGGATGTTGGCGTATTATCTTTGTAAGTATGACTGAAAGGGAATTTCCTTTATTTTCATACTTTTTGTTGTTTTTTTGTTTAGTGAAAATCTTCAGATTCAATATATATATACATATGTGTGTGTGTGTGTGTGTGTATGTTTGTGTGTGTGTTTGTGTATGCGCATGTGTATAATAAAGAGTTCCTATCATTTCTCTGGAAGTTTTAGCCTGTAGATCTATTTTCTATGTTGAATTGAAAGCAGATTTTTATGACTGACTTTTTTAGTTTTGGTTTTTATAAATTTAGGTATTGATCTAGGTTTGAGCCACTGTGGAGTCACAGGAACTAGATTTAACTTCTTGTCTTAATGAAAATGGACAGAGTATATGAAACAACAGTTTTCAGCAGTTAGCAGGCAGGATAGAACAGGATTCCTTGGAAAGAGGCAACAAATGAGATGAGCTCTTCAATTGCCTTAGATGATGACTTGGAGAGTTTTTCCAGGTCTCAATACATGAAGAGGAAACCTAGGTGGAAGACCAGCCATCTTCCTGAGTTGAAGGGACAGAGTTGGGAATTGGGGAAGCAAAGGCATCTACATCTTATAAGGCAAGGTACCAGAGAGCAAAGAGCTATCTGGAAGGAGAATTTTAGAAGTCTGCAGAAAACTCCCTGCCCCAAGTCTTCAGTTGAACACTTAATTAGTCTTCAACTAATTGGGTTTGAGGCTTGGGAAAGATCCATTGAAAAGGAGTGGGTAGAACAATTCCCATAGCACACACAGGACTGGGATTTGTTCACAGTTCAGGGAGTGGAGAAACCTTTTAATACATAGGGCAGTAGGAAGAGCACTCAGAAAGGTATTGCCTCAGTAATGGAGACAAACTAGGCCAACACTAGAGGTAGCCTAATCCAGCCTAAGAAAGCTTAAAAGTAAACCTTGAAGGGACCAAACTATTTCCAAGTACATAACTACATCCCAGAAAAAACACTCAAAAACATTTAAAAGAAAATAACCCAATATAAATTTCACAATGTCTATCATCCAAGTAGAAATTTATGAGGATTAAAACCAAAAAAACAAAAATGCAGCCCATGATGAGGACAAAATGCAAATAAATAGAAACAGTCTCAGAAATGACAAAGATGATAGAGTTAGTATCAAGGACCTTAAAACAAATACTGAAATACTGTTACATATTCTTAAAACAAAGTCTCTGCATACTCAAGAAGGTAAATGAAAGCATGAACATGTAGGAGAATGAAATAGAAGACACACAAGTAGAATTTCTAGCAATGAAAAGTAAAATTTCTCAGATGACAAATACTCTGGATGGGATTACCAAAAGATTTGATACTGCAGAAAAAAAAGATTAATGAACTTGAGAAACTACTCAGTATAAAACACGGGAATAAAGGAAAAGAACATCAGTGATCTGTGGTACAACTTAGAGCAGACTACTATGTGTACTTTGAATCCCAGAAGGGAGAGGGTGGACAGAAAGTATATTTGAAAAAAAAAAATGACCAAAAGTTTTCCAAATTTGATTAAAACTATAAACCCAGAGATTTTAGAAGTTTATGGAACTCTAGGCAGAAAAATTATGAAGAAAACTACACAAAATTTTAGTTGCTTAAAACTAGTGATGAGAGAACAACCGGAGGAAAAATGAACATATTAAATACAGAACAGCAAAGGTAAAAATGATAGCAGATTTTTTCTTTAGAAATTTTCAAGCCAGAACACAGAACACCACCTTTACACTACTGAAAGGAAAAACTGTTAACCTAGATTTATACTCAGTGAAAATATCTTTTCAAAAACAAAGGCAAAATAAAGTCTTTTTTTTTTTTTTTTCCTTTTTGTCTTTTTTTGTGACCAGCAACGGGATCACAACCCTCGGTGTCGTGCCCGCACCGCTCTCAACCAGTGAGCGGACCGGTCTCTACAAAAATAAAATAAATAAAAGTCCTTCATTCAGAAGGCAAATGATAGGAGATGGAAATTTAGATCTACTTAAAAGAATGAGTGATACTAGAAATGGTAAATATGTGCATAAATGTAAAAGCCTTCTTATTTTTTAAATCTCTTTAAGTGATAATTATTCAAGCCAAATATAATAAAACTGTATTGTAGGGTTTATGACATATGTAGAATTAAAATATGGACAACAATAGCACAAAGGTGTGAAGACAGAAAACAGTTGTAAGATTATTATATTGTACATGAAGGCACAAGGGGTCTTTAAAAAGTCCATGGAAAATTCATATTATGAAAAAACTATGCATGGATTTCAAATTTTTTTGCTTGTTATGACATGTCTGCATGTTATGACTTGTTATGACGTATCTGAATGGGATCTACTTTGAGGCACTAAGAAGGATAAGACATCAGTTTGAAAAGAGCAACATGAATTCTGCTAAAATGGAAGCAAGAACAGGCATCGAACTTACAGTGAAGCTTGGATGGAAGAATGGTGAAATCATCCATGCTTTACAAAAAGTTTATGGCCCAAAGAAATCACCAGTTTACAAATGGATAACTCATTTTATGAAGGGAAGAGGCAACGTTAAAGGTGAAGCCCGCAGTTGCAGATCATTCACATCAATTTGAAAAAAAAAAATTAATCTTATTCATGCCCTAATGGAAAAGCACTGATGATTAAGTTGAAACAATAGCCAATACCATAGACATCTCAATTGGTTCAGCTTATACAATTCTGATTGAAAATTAAAGTTGAGCAAACTTTTCATGCGATGGATGCCAAAACTATTATGCTGAGATCAGCGGCAGACAACAGCAGAGATTTCAACGGAAATTTTAAACAAATGGGATCAAAATCCTGTAGCATTTCTCTTTAAAGAATTGTAATAGGAGATGAAACATGGTTTTACCAGTATGGTCCCAAAGACAAAGCACAATCAAAGCATGGCAACCAAGAGGTGGCAGTGGTCCAGTCAAAGCAAAAGCAGACCAGTCAAGAGCAAAGGTTATGGCAACAGTTTTTTGGGATGCTTCCAGGCATTTTGTTTGTTGACTTCTTGAACCACCAAAGAGCGATAGCATCCGCTGAGTATGAGAGTGTTTTGAGAAACAGAGCCAAAGCTTTAGCAGAAAACACCCAGGAAAGCTTCACCAGAGAGTTCTTCCCCACCACGACAGTGCTTCTGCTCATTCCTCTTATCAAACAATGGCAACTTAGCCAGAGTTTCAATGGGAAATCATTAGGCATTCACTTTATATTCCTGATTTGGCACCTTCTGACTTTTGTTTCCTAATCTTAAAAAATCCTTAAGCCCAGTTCCCATTATCAAATTCCTCTCAAACTCAAATCTGAAAAATTTGAGCAGTCCTGAAAGTAATTGTATGGTACAAAAGATGTTGACCATTCTATGAAATTCAACTTATGTTCAAAAGAAAAAAAATCTTTAAAGGGCACCCATTTTTCTTCAGTTAATAATGTAAAAAGGGCTACATTGACATGGTTAAATTCCCAGGACTCTCAGTTCTTTAGGGGTACACTAAACAGCTGGTATTATTGTTTACAAAATTGTCCTGAACTTGATAGAGATTATGTTGAAAAATAAAGTTTGTATTTTT